CTCAAGACCAAATCAATTTCACGAATGCAGACGGATAGACTTCGACTAACGGCGAGCCACCGTATTAATCCACCTCCCAGTCGATTGCGATGTACTGACCGTCAGAGCTGTTCCATATTTGCACCTCCTTGCTTTAAGAGGGAAACTAGTCTATTGGGGAACATTTCCTCTTCTTCCAAAAGAATGGAGGAGGTGAAGGAGTCGGCTTAGAGACAGACTTATTCCCTTCCCGGTGGTGCAGCTCCTGCTGAGACACTGCCTCCGGGTCAGTCTCTAACTCAGTCCGGGTAGGCCGACTGACCTCACTTCGAGACAAAAGCCCAATATATGTAGCATCCGAGCGAGTTGTTGCCCTTTCCACAGAGGTTTCTTCCTCTGCTTCACTCTTATGAGCGACCAGATGACTTTCTCGATGCTCGTCGACCCACACCCGAAAGAGCTGCACCAATCTGATATGTGTTAGTAAAAGCTTAGGGTCTCCTTTCTATAATGGTTAGTTCACCAGTGAAAATTCTCTTGATCACCACCATAGTTGTAGAGATAGAAAAAAGAAATTTCGAACCTACAGCACCGACACCGTTGTCGCAAGCTTCCATCGACCTTTCCTCAATTGCCACGGCTTTCTGAGCAGGAACCATCTTCCCCAGGGCCTCAGCTTTTTCCTTCTTCTGGGCAGATCGAGCAACAACTCCTGCTTCCCGTTCGGCTTCCTCTGCATCAGAGGCGGCCCACAACTCCGTCATTATTTGGCTGAACTCTTCAGAAAACAAGACCCTATTAACAGTAGCCAAATCTATGTATGGGGGAACTGATAGAATTTATTCATCAATTTCAGCTCCCTCGATCCGGGAATGGTTCGTCCCCTTCTTTCTCTTGAAGACTTCCCCAGTCAGAATAATCCAGATACCTCGGTTTGAATAGGATGAGGAAATGAAGAACTTAAATTTCCAGTCTTTTACTTTGTTCTCCCAGCCCGAGAACTATAACCGATTGATTATGCCAAATTGTACATACCCATCAGCCTCCGCTCAGAAAGAGAACATAAAATTGAACAAGTTGGTCGACAAAGGAATCCCATTTCACTGACAGAAGACCACGAAGGTCATTATAGCCACAATAGAATTTGGCTTAATCTACACTGGAATAATGTCATACCAGTTGAAGATAGCCTGAAACTCTTAGGAAAGAGGCAGCCACAATCCATACCTCAAATGATCTATTTAAACAACCAAGTCATTACCGAACCGATCGGTGGCCCTCTCATTCGAGCAAGCAGCCTGAAACTTGATGGTCGATTAAAAAATGAAAGCCTCCTCCATGAAGGCCAAAACTGACGGAGACAAAACCGACCGCTCGGTCGCAGCTATCAGTTCGCGAGGAGTGTGCATTTTGCATTAATAGAAAATTAAAAGGTTCCAAAAGGGGCTAAAAAGCCAAAACAAAAAAAAAAGACTACTAAGTAGTAGCACTACAAAAGCTTCCATCCCTTTCAACAAAAAAAGATAAGGGATGACTATCATGTAAACTTTTAACAACAAATCTATCCCATAAAGTAAATTGTGCACAAAAATGAGCGGCTTCCTTGTTAGTTCTGTCACCATGAGAAAACAGAACCTAGGGGAAGTTTGATAAGAAAGTCACCTCACAACACCATCCACTTTGTCCTCCCCGAGAGCTCTTGCCCATAGAATGCTAACAACAACCAACACGTTCTGATTGTCATCTTCAATCACCATACCTTTAACCTACAGCATCCAAGTTTCCAAAAAAGTACCAATGCACATAATTGCCTCCAACTCCACACTGGAGCTATCCCAATGAAGCAAATTACGACTAACAACAACCACGAGGAAAAGAACACTCCATCCACATTAGCCTTTAACCATCCTGGAAGGGGGCACCAATGAAGAGTAGAAAACAACCTATTCGGCTGAAGGGAATCTCATTGCTCTTGGATAGAGAAGACATATCATGCACAAAAAGTTTTGGCAGCAATAATCGCCCCTGTGCCTGGATTTATCTTTCCTAAAAAAATTTAAGTAGGTTCTTTTTAGTCGCACTGTTAGATCTAATAATACAGTTGCAAACTTTATGCTCACTCGGCTTTTGAGAGTGACTTTTTGCTTTATAGTTTAGATGAGAGGCACGCCCTTTCTGCTTTTGCTAATGGGGATCAACATTCTCATGCTATTAGCTTCTTTTGTGACACTTTTTTATTATTTTATTGATACAAAATGTACACACTTTACGGATAGGGAAGACATAAGTGTGGGTGATGAAAGAGAGAATAGATGAGGCCAAATCCACTTAGGTTCCATAAGGCCGGCCATGCTTCTTCTTGTTTCTAGCTCTCCAACAAACGTTTGAGGAGTGTGCGTGGAGCCAACAGAAAACAAATTGAAAGAGATCGCATTAATAAAAGAAAATAAAGCGACAAAAGCCCAAAGAAAAAGACAACAAGACAAAAATGAACACTCCAGTCCCTATTTATAGGGATATGGTGAAAGCGAAAACTTCACACTAATATTTTGAGAGAAAAGCATCACATCAACATATAAATTAAGAAGGAATATAAAATAAAAATTTTATTCAAAAATCAGGTGATTACATTCACACCTTGGTCCGACTAAAGATACTTTACGAATTAGTCTTCGGCCGTCTCGACCAGGACAAAACCATTCCTAAGCAATCTCCTATACAACATCTAACCACCGAGCTAGAACTGATTCGCTCAGTCGGCCTCAAAGTGGTCCATATGCACAAAAGCAAATGTTTCCCATCGCACTTCCTCAATTAGGATCTGCACTTCGATGAGATCCTCCTCTCGCTGAGCCAGAGTGACCTCCACTTCATCCAGGAAGCGGGTCAATGTTCTTGGGGACGTCCTGTGTCCCTCAGCAACATCCCCATGAATCTCAATGAGGTCAGTCGGGCGGTTAACTATGTTTTCCTCACTTCCGATTGGCGCTTGGTGCATAGGAGACACCACAACATCTTGATCGCGGCTGTCGGAAACAAGAGGCAAGCCCTCGATGTGGACAACTCATTTCTTTCAAAAAGAGAATGATAAAAAAGAAAAAATAAAATATAAGAACATATTAAGACAAAAATGCAAATAACATATTCAACATCCTCTCCACCTTGAACCATGTGACTCTGCCAACATTCAACAGTGGAAGATCAACGGTGGCTCCTTTCTTCCTGACCGGTTGGTAACCTAAACTAATCACTAGTGCTCATGTCGGTTGAAAAGCACTAAACATTTCTGGCTGGTTTGAAACCTCAACAAGAACCTTAGTTGATAGAATAACCGTCGAAGCACCCAACTCCTTCCAAGCACTTAGTCAACTCTTTTCTGGAGTCTCCCGGATCGAATTCGACGACTCTTCCTACTCCACTCGCTTGGACGACTTTGACTTCTTAGCGAGTTTCTTCTCCCACTTCTTCCTTGACTCAATTTCCTACCAGGGCTTTTTCTTCACCCCAAGAGCGGCCAACATTTTTGTTTGGCCCACAGGTTTGAGTGATGGATCGGTCCCCTTATCCATAAGAATGTCACAGAAGCTGAGCGGACACAACGAGAAACGATGCTCCGAATATTAAGAACCGTCCACCATGACCTATATATAAGGTTCATGGGCATGAAAATTCGGAGAATCTAATCATTACTTTAAATTATGACTACTAAGATTTCATTCATTATTTTAAAAATTCTTTTGTTCTTACGGAGTTGTTGCTATCATGAAAGAAAAGAACTGGAAAACTTAATATGTACACCAAAAATTTGTCTAAAAGAATCCCGAGATAATCTGATAGCCCAGATCAAAGAAAATATGATGAGGAACTTCCCTGATGAAAAACTAAACAGTCTCACGAATCCGACCAACTAAAGGCTTCCCAGGCGATTGATATTCAGTCCAACCAACTAATCGAAGGTCGGTCCGACAACTAAAGGATCACCTAAGCCAACAAGGACAGACATCCAAATGAATCCCTCTGAAGGAAATGACCGGACAAAGGTCTAACACCTTCAACAATCTAACAAGTATCAACACAAAGCTCTCTCTCAACAGTTCCCCCAAAGATCACTAAAAAAGCACCAAAAGAGCAATAATCAAGCAATTCAATTGGCCACCCGAAAACCAACCAGTAACTCCACTCAACATCTGATCGGCTTCCCAAAGCTAAAATCGAGCAGCGCACAAATGAAAGTTGACCGACAACAGCTCAGTCGGCCGACCCAAGGGCTTGACGAGCAAAAGGTTCTGGTAGACAACGAAAGACCAGAAAACCCTGTACAACTCCTCAAAAGCAGGGGTAAAACATGCAATTTTATATTTTGTCCCTCAACCTCCTAAAGAAAGGGGAACCATATTATGCAGTAGGGGCGCTTTGAGCTCTTCTCTTTAGACCCTTATTTTTTAGAATGTCTCTCTCCCTTTCTCTATAATAACATCTGCTTTCAATATATAAAATGGGTCGTATAGCCCGGAGAATATCCTAATTTGCCCAAGAGGGGCAAGTTGTTTGCACTCTCACCTTCCCTCTCTCCTTCGCTCTCGCTGCCTCTCCCTCACTTCCTTCCGCTCCATGCCTTGGGCACACCTGGATTCAACACTTAGGTTTGTTTGATCATGATGAGTTTCCAAATTTTTTGATTTATTTTAATATGAGTGCAATATAAATTTTGATCGAATCCACATGCATTGTGCTCATCTATGTAACTTTTTGGTTATTTAAATCCATTCTAATTTAAATTTGGTCAGAATACCCTCACCCAAAAGTTTTTCATGGACAAATTATATATTCTAAATAGTTCTATATTATTCAGATAAGACACCATTAAACCGAAGAGACTCTATTTTTATTTGCCATCAGTACAATTTAAATTGCATATCATCTAAAGTAACACTACTTGCTACAATACATTAAGCAAAATAATACCTAACATCTACTGCATGTTTAAATTGAATAGCGTCCACACATTAGGCTATCTAAACTATAAGCCAACATGCAATACTTGAATCATATCAGTAAATAAAATAAACAATATCGACATAAAGTTTCGATTTCAAAAGCACCAAGAATGAAAATGATAATTACCAAATATTTTCATCAAACTGTTGCAGACGACAGAGCAGCAGTAGCAATATCAACTTCATCTCCGCCTCCACATCTACAATCAAGCCAGTTAAGCACATCCTTCCTAAAAATCTCAACATTTTCCTCTGTCTCCCCAAACTGCAGCGAATGCCACACTCCATCGTAGATCTTAATACTCTTGTCAACACTCCTTGCCACCTCGTAAAGCTCTCTGCTCACCGCCGGATCCGTCACTACATCCCCACTCCCATGTAGCACAAGAAACGGCAAGCTCACCTCCGCTAGCCGCCGTGAGAGCTCATCCGTCGCCCGGAGCAGCTCCACCACAGTCCCCAACCTTGGCTTCCCATTATACCTCATCGGATTCGCCATTGCCACTACCCGCTTCTCCTTAACTTTTACCGATTTCTCCACCAGATCACCCGTCGGGACAACTGGAAGCGCCGGCAGGAACCGCGCTACTAGGGTTAGGATCTGCGGGATCGGCCATCGCGGCCGCATCTTGTCGGATATTTTACACATCGGGGCAACTAGAACGGCACCGGACCAATCCTTCTTATCGATGTGGAGATCTTTGAGGCGGAGATGGATTAGCAGGCAGAGCGCACCACCCATGGATTCGCCATAAAGGAATTTAGGGAGGGAAAGGAGGGACGGGTGGGAGGAAAGGGCAGAGCGGAAGAAGGTTATGCAGTCGTCTGCAACGGCAGGGAGATCGGGAACGAAGGCGCGGATGCCGGACGAGTAGCCATGGCCATGGAGATCAAGAGCGAAGCAGGCAAAGCCGGAACGGGCCAGGAAGATAGGGGTGGATTGGAAGGTCCAGCTGATGTCGTTGCCATAACCGTGGATCATGAATATAGCAGCGCGCGGCGGTCTAAGCGGCATCCAGGATCGAGTGAAGAGAGATACGCCGTGGGGCGAAGTAAAGAAAGATTTCGTGGCGTTGATGCCTTGTGAAGCGTAGTACTCTTCTGCTGTCGGCGGCGTATCTCCCCAGAAGTTACGAGGAGCTCCGGCAACGGCGCCTTTGACGGCCGCCGGCATTTTTTGATGGAGTCAGCGGTTTGAGATATATTGAGGGGGAGGGCAGGAACTGCCTGTTGCTGTCCTTAAACTTATGAATGGTTCACATATTATCTATTGATATAACTAAAGTATTAGATGGTGAGATCTTATACACGTAGTACATGAAATATTATATTAGTTTTAACTATTTTAAAAGGGTATTACATACATACAACACAATATTATAGCAATTGCATATCAACACCTAAACTTAGGTGTCATTTGGTGCAGCTTATAAGCGCGGGTGCCGTTTTGAAAACGTGGTTGCGCCGTTTGTTTTTTGCGCTTAGGGCGTTAATTGAAAAACGACGTTTCCATTTTCTTAATAGACGGGCATGCAAGATCGACCACCGGCCCACGTCTTTGATCCACGTCGAGTGAATTATTTCCTCGTGTGCCCTTTTTTGTTCGTCTTCTATCTCGCTCTATCGCTCTTGCCCTAGGTTGATAGATCGCTCTTGTCCTTCCGGTATCGTCCCTCGCCTCTCTCCTTCGGCTCGAACGCTCTTGCCATATGTTGATCGATTGCTCTTGTCCTAGGTGACAACCCTCGCCTCTCTCCCTTGCCTCCCATTGGATTGCTTATTGGTGAGTTGGCTCACTTCTGGTTGAAAAATCTATAATGTGATATTTTCTATTTTTTGCGGGATTTTTTGGTTGCAACAAGTGATCTCTCTACTCCATTGCAAAATTTTTTGGTTGCAATGGATTTTTTGCTCGAGAGATTTTTTGGTTGCAATGGGTTATCTATAATACAATGTTTTCTATATTCTTTGTGGACTCCTTCGGGATATTTTACATTTTTGGGATGAATTTGAGGTAAATTGGGTGAATAAGGCTTTGCACGATTCTCCTTTTCAAATGGTCGTTTAGTGTTGCTCAATTACTATGTTGCTTTGGCTGGAGGATGTGTTAGAGGTTGTGTGTGATGTCCTTTTTAGTGGTCTTAGGTGTGTGTTGTGCACGAGCTTGGGTATGTGGATTTGTGGTGGCATGTGTATGTGGGTGTGGGTGTGAGTGTTTGTGTGTGTGTGTGTGTGTGTGTGTGTGTGTGTGTGATTGTGTTTGTGTTGGTGGTGGTGGAGGCAGTGTTGGTGGTCGTGGGTGATGCGGGTTAGTGGTGGCATGTGAGTGAGTGTGTGTGTGTATGTGATGTATTTGTTGGTGGTACATGAGTGAGTTTGTGTAAATTTTATACTTTTTTTTCCTTTTTCAAGTACACTTGGGTGTGTGTGTCTCCTCTCTCTTCTATTTGGTGTTGTTGCTCGTGCTTGGGTGTTGGTGTTGGTGGTTGGAACTGGGTGTGTGTGTCTCCTCTTTCTATTGTTGGGTGTTGTTATTGGTGCTTGGGTGTTGGTGTTGGTGGCTGGACCTGGGTTTGTGTGTCTCCGCTCTCTAATTTGGGTGTTGTTACTGGTGCTTGGGTGTTGGTGTTGGTGTTGGTGGCTAAAGATGGGTGTGTGTGTCTCCTCTCTTTATTGTTGGGTGTTCATGCGGGTGTGTGGGTGTTGGTGGTGGTGGCTGGACTTGGGTGTGTGTGTCTCTTCTCTCTACTGTTGGGTGTTGTTGCTGATGTGTGGGTATTAGTGGTGGTGGCTGGACTTGGGTGCGTGTGTCTCTCTCTACTGTTGGGTGTTTTTCCATATTTTGTTTATCTTATTTTTTCATGATTTATTTTTTATTTTTTTTAGGTTTGGACTTTGTTTTTCGTTGTGTTTTTTTTTTCATGTTCTCTATTTTACTTTCATTATTATTGTATTTCACTATGTATTTCTTTTATTAGTTAGCAATGTGGGATAAGGAAGTAACAAACATATTCTGCAATCTCTGTATTAAGAAGATTGAGCTTGGACATAGACCCTCCACCTATAACAATGAAAGGTGACAAAATATTTCAATAAGGTTCCAAAAAATGATAGAAAGGGAGTTTGATAGGCTAAATTTCAAGGACAAATGGGATCAGTTAAAAAAGGATTTGAAGCTATGAAAGGAACTGAAATGGGGATCCATGGGATTGGGTTGGGATCCTATCAAGCAGGCCATTGATGCTTCAGAGGAGTGGTGCACTGAGAAGTTACATGTAATAAGTATACCTTTAAATGCTTGAATTTCCCTTCGTTATCCTTGTTATTTCACTTTAAGTAATATGATTCCCTGAACATTGCGGGTAGTGCTAGATGCAAAGAAATTTAAGGAGAGTGGAATTGAGACGATTCTGGAAGAGAAGTTTAAACTCATGTTTAGGGGTGGTTTCGCGATGTGCATGCATGTGTTCAAACCAAGTGAGCAGGGGTTTGTAGGCATACCAGATGACTTGGTAGTCAAGTAGGTTACTAGGTTAGGTGAAGGCCTGAAAAAAAACTTGAGGGAGCTCGAGTCCACAAGCCAGTCAAAGCGACCCAAGGTGGAGAAAACAAAAAAATGCAAAAGTCGCTTTTGTCAGAAGTTCAATAGATAAGTTGATCGAAATATGTGCAGCTCAGCCTGGTACTTCAAATGACACCATCATAGATGAATTTCTTGGAGTTTTGGATTCACATCCTGTTGACCTCACTTTTGGTTGAGGTCTAGAAACTTCTTTAGTAGCCTAGGTCTAGCTATAGGACTTCCCTATTAACTAGTCTTAGAAAATTAGAAAAGGTACCCCCACCATTAGAAATTCAAAACTCTTCTTTTTACTCAACTTGAAATTCCACATAATGATCTTAACCTCTAGCATTTAGTAGATAAGATCATTATAAGAGAATTCAAGAAGAGTCCCTATAGGATTACTTGGCTTTAGGATTGACCCTAGGTGTTGACTTAGAACTAGGGTACACCATATCTTCACAATATATTAATCCATG